AAAAAAAAAAAAAAAAAAGAATGATATAAATCTTTATGTGTTAATTTGCCAAAAATGTGTGTGTGTGTGTGTGTGTGTGTGTGTGTGAGTGTGTGAGTGTGTTAGGATAATTTTCATTTTCAACATTTTCCAAGTTTTCTATAACAAATATATATAAACTTTTAACATTGTGAAAATACGTTAATCTTAATAAAATTGGTAAAGAAAATTATAATGGTTAGGTTTTATTTTTTTAAGCTATTGGTAATAATATTTTTCTTTTTAAATGATTTCCTTCTGTCAGACTATCTGAGAATTCTAGTATTTAAAAGGATTCTTTAATTTCAAATATTGTCAGTAATTTTTTAAAAATTCTATTTCACATATCTAATTTTTTGAGTTTTATTGCGATATAATTGATATACAGCATTGTATAAGTTGTATAGCATAATGATTTGACTTTCATATATCAGAAAATACCATAATAAGTTTAATTAACATCCCTCATTTTATATGCTCATGTCTATTTTATTCATTTAAAAAAAAATCTGAAGATGAACATGGATAGGTAGTAATTCTTTCCTATGGTCCAATGGAATTTGACCCTCTTAACTGCTAACAGAATATCCTTTTATCATTGGGCTTTATAAATCTTACTATAGCTACTTTAGTTCACTTGTGTTCTTTTCTCTCTTGAGAGGTACCTCTCAGTGCTTTCATAAGTTAATTTTGAGCAATTTGAGGGGTTCCCAGTTTTATTTTCTACTTAAAGGCAAAATAGCTTGTCATTATTTTCAAATTATATTAGATTTCCAGCAAAATCATTCAAAAGTCATAGGGAGATCTATTGATCTTTGATAATTTGTAGTTCTGTGTATGTGTGTGTTTACTGTTAATGTTCAGTGTGGATTAATTAATTGTAAGTTAGGGACAAGTGGCATTTGTGTATGTCTGCTCTGCTCTGTGAATCAATAAGATATATGAATACACACCCTGGTGGTAATATAAAATACAAGAGGGGTGTGTGTGTGTGTGTTTTCATAATTCACTGTCCTTAAACTTCAAAGTCAGGAAGAGGCTGTAGAATAGCCGTTTGCAAAATAGCCCTTTCCTCGAAGAGAACATGCTTGTGTACAAAACAGAACTTTCAAAGTTAGTTTTATATTTGTGTTTGATGGAATCTAAGGTTGTGGAAACGGACTGTAAAAATAATTTGTCTGAAAGAAGTCTGGATGCAGAAATCTCATAGAGGAAACGTTTGAGAATATGGTTCAGCAGCGAGTGCGGCAGGTACACTCTCACAGCACCACGGGGCTTGGATCAAAGCACCCCTGACATGGATCCCTGGCCCAATCACCATGTATTGATTGGAACCCCATGAGGATTAACCCCTTGAAGTTCTTGCCAAGTTAGTTCTCACGCTTGGTGTCAGTAATGGTAGGCATATAATCATCTTGCCACTATTAGCTTTTTTTTTTTAATCTGATATGTTTGTCTTTCTAAATTTTATTCTAAATTATTTGATTGCACTGTTCTTTGCTTGATAAAATTAACTTGTGAAAAGAGCATACGAATTATGCAAAAGTAGCTTATGGTGGAAGGAAGAGAAAAATGTGTAGTATTCTGGGTGGAAAACAGTAAGAAAATCTAAAAATCAAGTACAGATTTTATAATTTTCATTACAGAGGTTAAAAGATAAGTTCTAGCTTCTTCAAGGGTCCTTCAGAGTCTGAGTAGAGAGCTTTGCCTCTAACAGAACCCTTCAAACGCTTTTCATATGTGGTGCTACGTTTCTAACACTGGGCTGTCCACATTTGGGGATTTAATTCTTGCTTTGAAATAACAATGCAGAATTAATTAGTAAAATCCATGGAAAACGGAAACCCCAGATTCATTCATGCCCGCTGTTGGCCGCGTGGGTTCCTCTGGCCTTTTCTGTCTGGTGGGATGGTTCTTGACCACAGATTCATTTTCTGACCCTCTGTGTTTCTTTCAGTTTGTCCCATGAGGAGCACTCCCACAGCCACCCCCTCTATGGACATGGAGTGTGCAAGTGGCCAGGCTGTGAAGCAGTGTGTGAAGATTTCCAGTCGTTTCTGAAGTAAGCAGGATTTTACGTTGCTTCCTTCTCTTACATAGCCATCACCCCTCACTGTCATGCTTTTCCTCATAAAATGCCTCTTTGATGGAGGGTTTCACACTGCCTCTTTGAGAGTGGACTTTAGATCACAAGGTCATAGGAGTAGTTCCAAAATCTATTGAGGCTTGCATTGTCAAGGCGAAAAGATACACACCTAAGGGCAGTTTTGCTACTCTTACGAAGAGCCTGTGTTTACCCATTTTTGTGAGGGTTCTTTTTTTCTTTTTTTCCAGAATGACAGTGATTAAATAAAAATTATCCCAATATTAAACTTGCCATAATTAGTTTTCACTTTTATTCATGTCCCTACATACCAAATCAATGACATACTAACTCTAATTTTATAAAATTGGTGCCACTTACTGGCCAATTGCAGCTTCTTTGTTTTATACAAATGACTTTATAAACATAAGAAGTGGATGCTGTCAACTTGATTCTTACCTTTCTATTTTGGTGTTGACTTTTGTTCAGATTCTTGTCCTTATAGAGAGAATGGAGTAACCATATTCTCTACAATGAAAGTATGGCTAAAACTTGGGTTGTCCCATTTGAATCTGTAACACTGGTAAATATCTCTGAAGGTAAATGATGTGTTGGTCTTCTCATAGCTCAAGCAAAATGCTTCTTTACTGCCTCTTTATGTTACCTTACCTATATATAGTACCTTGTCCTTGAAAAAAAATTAGACTAAACTCCCTGCATTATTGACATCTCATAAATGCATTGATAGTAACATTGAATCATTGGCATGTAGATTGAATACACAAATACATTATATTTAATATATTTATGTAGCACACAACAAACATATGCACACACATAACTCCTGTATATCTAGGTGAGTGTCGGCAGGTCTTTCCCTCTGGCTTTTCTCTCTCATTCGAGCCCAGGCAATAGAGGCAGGTGATTTACGTGCAGGTGTCTGGTTTTGTGTGGTCTTTATTTTATTAGCACAATCTCTATATCTATCTTTATGGACCTGGATGCAAATATTATAATAAAGCCACTCTTAGAGATGTAGCTAGTGTCATCTGCAAGGGGTTTTGGTGAATAGCGTTTTTTGATTAATGAATGGAAATCTGTGAATACTTTATAGCTTCCCAGCTTTAATTTTTTACTTTAAGAGCATTATGTGGTCATTAAAAACTTATGTACTTTCAGTTTTTTTTAAATGATACCAAAAAGTATTTCTAAATATCAACAATCGAGAGCAGTGATACTTCCATTTTAAACTAAGCACTAGCCCTTCACAATTACTATGATTCAAGTCAGTGCTATTGGGCTTTGTTCTCTTATGAATCAATCAGTCATTATAGAATCTGTATTTTGTTATTTCCTGATCATTTGTGAATTTCTATTTAGGTATTGAGATTAAAAGATCCTGGCAGAAACCACTTTTAAATTCTGATTTCACATTCTGCACTAGTGTGAGTTTTGATAAATATATTGGTGCTAATTTCACTCACCTATAGAACATCTGTAAATGTGATTTATTTTTCTAAAGTCGTTAGAACTATAAGATTGCTGTCAACATTCTTGGTGACATGTATCAATTTTATATGTATGTATGGGAAAGGATACCTCCACAAGGAGACTGCACAGTTTGAAACACATGGAGTACTAAAGAAAAGAATCTAAAGATCACTAGAATTGATGCTTAGACTCGATTCCTATTTTTTTAAAAAGCCCTTTTCTAAGGATACTAGGAGTCTGGCTCTTGTATAGGAAACCACCTAGCAAATACTATGGTTTTATACATGACATGACGTTCTCGGTTCATGTTTGTTCAGCGGAATTTGGTATGCCCACTATAAACCTTAATTTTTTGCTTATTTCCTAGTGCTTATTTATTGAACACTTTTGTTTGCAAGCTATAGAATCCCAACTTAAATTGGTTCGGCGAAGCCAAAAAAGAAGTAGGGGTTGGTGAGGACAGGAGGATTCTGGGTGATTATTGGCTGCTGTAATTAGGAAGTCCAGTGGAATGGCTAACTTCAAGCATGGCTGAATCCAGAGGCTTAAACAAGGTTATTGGCATTTTGGTTCTTTGTCTATTAGCTCTGTTTTCTTTTGTGTTGCCTTCATTCTTGGGCTCTTTCCAAGACTAACAAAAAGACAGATTTACAGGTCACAAATTTATTGTGGCAGAGTGCATCCCTTTTCCAGAAAAAGGTCTGGGCAGACTGTAATTGGCCCAGATTGAGTCATGTGTTCTAGCTTTGAGCCAATCACAGTGATAGAGCCAGGCTTCCATCACATGCCCGCAGACAGAGATGTTCACCCCATATGGTGGTTCGGGATGGGAGAGAATAAAAAATGAGTCTTGTAAACCAGCAAAGGGGAAATAAATGCTGAATAAAAAACCCGCTAGAACTCAAAAGTTCTCTTGGTGCTCTCCTGACATACACACTGATGGCCGTACCTGACAAATTCAGAATTTTGGTTTTCTTCTACAGTATAATTTTAGCTTGTGGAAATTCAGAGTTGTCTTCAGGTTTCAGTATCTTGCCTGACGTAGGGGAAAATTAGTCTTCTGGCAGATCCTATCTCCGACATCTCCACACAATCCAAACAGGGTAAGCACATTGGCTGTAACTTTTCTTTCCGCTAAGCTGGACAGAGAGAGCTACCAAATTTCTTATGGTTCAAACACATACCACATGGCCTCTTTGAATGAAGTCATTGTGAAGTCATTGTTATTGGGAAGTGACATTTCAAGCATTTCTTCTCAAATTGCCAGATTCCTAAACTCTGAAAGCACCTCTTTCCTGGGCATATTCTTCACTTCCATTATCTCCCTCTCCTTATAGGTGTTTCCTTATGATTCAAGTAAATTGATACCATAGATGCTTGGATTCTCCAAGGTGCTCTTACTCAACGAAATGTAGCATGGCTCTGACCTTGATTTAGGCATCATTTCATAGGTTTTTTTTCACCTATTCTCTAATCCCATAGTTTTACACTCTCCTTGTAAGAGTTTATGATTAAGTAGCCCTGAACTAGCCACAGGCACAATTCCAAGTGCTTTACGTATGTAACTCATTTAATCCTCACAACCACCTTAGAGTGAAGTATTACTCTCAGTCTCAAGGTAAGGAAACTACGTCACAGAGAGGTTAAGCAATTTTCCAAAGGTCACGTAGCTAATAAGAAGTGGAGTCCAGATCGAGACCCAGGCCTCTGGTTTCTTGCATTCGCCCTCAACTGCTACACAATACCGCCTGGTAAGAAGCAGTGTGTTTCATTATCTCTGTGCTTTCTGTTAAGGCAGTAGATCTAGAGAAAGCTCTGAGGAAAGGCAGGTTGGGTAGCGAAGCCACTTACTCTGGTCATGCTCCTTGAGCTGGTTACATAACGTCACTGAGCCTTCGTATCACACATGTAATTTGCGATGGCAATAGTAGTAACCACCTCATAGGGTTGTTAGAATTCAAAGGTATGTTGTGTAAAGTGCCTAGCCCATACTTGGCACCCTTTAAAAACATTAGTACTTCTTACCTATGTAAGTATCTTTTTTTTTTTAAGATTTTTTATTGGGGAATTGGGGAAGGGGAACAGCGCTGGGGAATCGGGGGAAGGGGAACAGACAAGTTGCTGTTGGTTTGTTCTTCAGTCTAGTTGTGGAGGATGTTGCTTCGCTGGCCCAAGCTGGCACCATCATTGCGCTCTTCCTGGGCGAGGCAGATCAGTCGCAGGCCTCTGGACGGCCGCTCACGGCGGCTGCTGGCCGCTCACTCTGGCTGCTGGCTACACACGGTAACTTATGGCAGCCCACTGCAGCAGGGGACTGCAGCCTACGCCGTCACCAGCGACTCACGGCAGCTCAGCTCCAGGTCGAGCTGTTGTTCAGCATCTTAGCTGTAGAAGGCAGTGTCACTGGCCCTCATATGTGGGATCCGAACCGGGGCCCTCTGGCGTCCCAAGCCAGCTCTTAACCAACGCGCCACTCGGCCGGCCCTAAGTATCTTTTTAAAAGACGGATCATTTTAAATATCCAAACATTCCTGCCCTTGTACCTATGGAAGGTCTTGTGACTGTGGAAGGTCCTGATGTCTCCGAAGAGACTATTCTTTAATATAATCCTTTAACCATACATTTCTGGTCAAGTCCCACATGGTTGAATGTGGTTTTAGGGCAGGGGGTGGCAAGCTTTCTCTGTAAAGGACCAGACAGTGGCTGTTAGACACGACCACTCCCCTCTGCCTTTGCAGCACTGAAGCTCCCACAGGGCCACAGAGAAGGAGCAGGTGTGGCTGTGTCCCTGGCACCAGACTGCTGACCTCTGTCTGACCCAGGGCACAGTTTTGGGGTCATCACATTTTAGCTGAGAAGTCTTTTTGCAGTTCCTTGGGCATTGTTATCCCGTGTTATTTGAGTTTGAATTCCCAGAGCCCTTCAATTTATTCATATTTTGGGAAACCACCCATGCATGTGTTGCCCTGTTACTGCGCTCAGCAGCAGCAGTTTCTATACTTAATGGACTTGGGCTCTTCCACCCTGGTTTCTAGGGTTCAGGAGGAGAGGGGAAAGTGACTTCGCTTGGTAACTGTGTTTTCTGATCTTCCGTTGCTCAAGCTAGTACAAGGTCACTTTTAGAGAGGCCAGGCTCAGTTATTCAGGATATCCCATCTGACAATAAAATACCACTGTTAACAGGGTTTAAAGGAAGGGAGGGGGGCTCACTAGTCTAAAAATGAGGCATATTTTTCCCTCCTGAGAAAAAAATATCGTAACTGTTGGTAAATCAAAATGAGAGATTTCACACTTTTCTGTGATCATTCTGCAGTGTTTGTTCCCAAGGTGAGGTATACCACAGGGCCCTTAATTTTTGAGATAAATACTGTACAAATAACCATCCTGTTGTCTTTCCCTCACAGCCAACAGAGGGACGCCTTATCAAAATCAGACACCCAGTCGATTGGATGCATTTATTTCCCTGTTTTTTCTCAAAACAAGTTGCA